TGATGATGGTGATGTAGGATATGATGATGATAAGAATATAAGATAGCAATACTGGTAATAGTAAGCATAATGGTGCTAAAGAATATGATGATGATAAGAATATAAGATAACATCATATTAACAAATATAACAGTAATTGATAAAAATGGTCATAGCAGAAATAATCTCTATACTCTTCATAATACTATCACAATTAATACTGACAATGACAGTGGTTAAATGATAATGTATATATATTGCAATCTGTTATTTCCCGTTTCAGTTCACTTGACTTTTTTCTATGCTTAGTTTAAGAACCAAATAAGATACTGTATCTACAAAATGCACCGCTGAAAATAGATGACATCACAAAGAGATATGATTGTAGTTAAACTTTTTTTTTTTTTTTTTTTTTTTTTTTTACATATGCCTCAATGATTCTCTTCATATCAATGTCCTGGACAAGAGGTATCCCTTTAGGTGCTGTCACACTAGCACTTTTCCGTTAATTTTTTTCCAATTTTCTTAAGTTTTGTCCATTTTTTGAGCTAATTGTCGATTTTCAAGTCAGACTATAATGATCGTTTCCGTCTGAAAACCTTTCCGTCAACTTTTTCAGCCAAGCATAGTCAAATCAAGAATTATATTCGAGAATTTTTGTATTTATGTTAAATAAAATTGTAAAAAAATTGACGGAAAAAGTGCTAGTGTGACAGCACCTTTAACCGCGCTTCCATGTTATCAAAAAGTACAGTCCAGGCGAAAATGTTTGCGAGACGTGTTTCGAATCCTATCTCGAATAATCATATAATACAACCTTTGCTCGTAAGGGGAATTTCGAAGCTTTATATTGCCCGTAACCGAGCATCATACATCTCAATGCGGGAAAGGCTAGATCAGTAGCAACTCGAGGAGGTTATGACGTCAGATTTTAATGACGTCACAAAAGCTGCGATTCTGCGATTGATGATGGTGATAAACTTTCACTCATATCGGTTTTATGAAATTACGTCGCTAAGTCGCTACCAGCACGAAATTCGTGCACTGCTGGACGAGCGGTGAATATGGTCGATCATTTTTATCTTTCCGGTTTTCAAAGGGGATGGACAATAAATATTTTAATGGTTATATTTTCATTGAACAATCATCAAAATAACCCTGTGGCTGAGAAGCGTGGGCGGTTATGTTCATACATGAATGACTCACAAGTGGGAGTCAAGCCATAGGCCTGGATTTTTTACTCAGCTTGAAGGAATTAAGTATTTACTTTTATTGATACCTCTATGCACTCCATGAATGAATGAATGAAAGATATTTTATTTAATGTTTAGGATACCAAGCCGACAAGACTTTATTAAGTCAAAAACGCCTGAAAATCCATTGAAACTAACTCTGTTGGATATTGTTCAAAATGTAAACATGAACACGTGCTCTTCTAAAAATAGCCTGGCCTGGTATCCTAAACATTAAAAAATACCTTTCATTCATTCATTGAGTGCATGGAGGTATTAACAAAAGGAGGTATACTTAATTGCTTTCAGCTTAGTAAAAAATACAGGCTTTTGGCTTGACTCCACTGCGAGCAATTCCACTTGAGAATCATTCATGCATAAACACAATCGCCCACTCTTCTCATCCACAGGGCTATTTTGATCATTGTTCAATAAAATATAACCATTAGAATCAACATTTTCAATACATTTTGAAAACTGGAAGGATCAAAATGAATAATAAACCCCATGTGCTTTTTCCAAAAACAGAATCGCAACTTTTGTGACGTCATCAAAATCTGACGTCATAACCTCCTCGAATTGCTACTGGTTTAGCCTTTCCCATCTCAATGCACGTCTCCAAGTGTTTCGAATCATCATATAGGACAACCCTAGTTAGTAAGGTTCAAGGGGGATTCCGAAGCTTCATTTTGCCCTTAACCGAGCATCATACCTCTCACTGCACTTCTTTAGCTCGTTCAGACTGCTGTCCCTGAAGCCGCAGTTGCCGTTCGAACTGCCGTGAGTGTTGTACTTGTAGCACTTTTCATCAGCACTGGAGGTCGTCGGCCCCCAGACTGTCCTGCAGCGCTGCTCGTGGCTGCCGCACTCTCCCCTGTGACAGTGACCCTGGGGGGGGGGGGGGGCGTGTTCAACTTTTGTTCTGGTGTTAAGAAGTGGGTGAATGCTCGAAACACTGACTAGTTTTGGTTCGATGTGTTCATGTGCAGACAGATTTAGGACAAGGACAGATATAGATTGATAGATTGCAGAGATGGATAAGCAGATGGATAGTGAGATAGGAATGATTAACACGATCATGAACGGATGGATAGGCAGAATTTTTTACAACACGCAAGTCCTTCTCGCAGTCAAATAGACAAATAGATAAAAATCAACTCCGCTAGATTTCGTACCAATCCATCGAAGCACAGTTCCCCGTCCCGCTTGAAGACGTCCGCGGGGCAGTACTCGGAGTCCCCGGCGCAGAATTCTGGCAGGTCGCACTCGGACAGGGATTGCCGGCACAAGGACCCGACTGGCAGGGGCTTGCAGGTCTGTGGGACGAAGGGTAGCATTGGTGTTGTTATTGTTGTGGTTGTTCATATGAGGACATATTAACATTGCGCTCTTTAGGTCTTGCTATATAGGCTCTCTCTCTCTCCTTCTCCTTCCCTTTCCCTCTCCCTCACGCTTCTCTCTCGCTCTCTCTCTCCAAATAAATAAATAAATATATGTATATGTGTATGTCCCTTTCCCTCTCCCTGACCCACCGCCGCCCGCCCTACCTCCGTGTCGCAGCAGGCCCCCGAGGCGCAGGTGGCGTTCACAGCCAGCATGCAGGTGTCGGGGTCGCAGCAGGGGTTGTCGCAGAACTCCGCAGGCCCGCAGTCGCATTGCTCCCCACTCTCTACCACGCCGTTGCCGCAGCCAGGACGCGGGTAAATCTTCGTCGGGACGTTCTTCAAGCAGTCGAAGCCGGCACTGGAGAAGCTCTGAGCGAGGTACTTCTTGCTGCAGGAACTCCAACCCATGCTGGAGTTGTAGGCGCTGCTGTGGGCGGGAAGGGCGGTTCGTGGGTAAGTGGGACTAACTGGATGAGTGACTGATTACGTAGAATGGGTCATTGCTACGTCTATTAAAAGTAACCAATTAGCTATATTAAAAAAAAAAAAATGTAGGTAATTCTAGAGGAGATGGAATATTCGTTTTTTCCTATATTTTCCCCTTACCCCCTACGATTTGGGGGGACACGTGGGGAATCGAGGGTTTAGGGGGGGGGGCATACAAAGGTCTCCCACACAAACTATCGTAAAAATCCATTTATCGCAAAGATGAGCCAAACTTTCCCACAAAAATAACCGTTTTTAGGGATATTTGAAGGTATCAATGCGCCATACAATGACGTCACAACAAATTTTGAAGAGCGTAAAATATGAATAGATTATAGAAATTAGTTAAATGAATTAATATAATGGTAATTAATATCGTTTGCAGAGCAAGTGTCGAAAATCAACTTAAAATTACGCGTGAATGTCTATCAAACTTTCTTGAGCGCCACCTTCTGAGTGACATGGTTTGTTTACACTGACTTCGGCGATAAGCGGAGAATGGGACTTTGCGAGCGACAAATTTCGGCACTTTATTTTAATATTATGACGTAATTATGTCTTTCCGCGCTTTAAATTTGACTTCCCTGATTAGTTTGCATGTTGTTCTTCCATTTTAGTAGCATTTCGTTTTTGTTTACTGAAATTCTATATCCTCCATATTTACCAAAATGTAGTTACATGATACAGTTTCATCGGATGCATCTCCCAAATTTGGCTCTCATGGACTTGGACCAGTTTAGCTCAAATCACCCAATCCACAGTATTACAATATCAAAACACCTTAATGTTCACCAATACAATGTATCATTAGGGAAAAAACACCATTTCCATGCAATCTTCATACAAACGATAAAATAAAAATTATATTCGACAACGATAATGACAAGGTGTAAATGCGGAGGAAAATACCTTCAGAAGATAAGATGAAGAAAGGAAACTAGAGCTGCGTCAAGGAATTGATTTTTTTTTTTTTTTTTTTTTTAAGAAAGGAAACGCACAATACTTTTTGAAATTAGCTTCAAGAAGAAGAGGAATCTCCAACATAAAAACTGCTTTTTGGGGCCATGTGTTTTTTTTTTTTTTTTTTATTCATTTAATTTTTCCTTTTTTACGCGATCTACAAACTTACCTGCCAGTTTCTCCCATGACGCACTTGCTACTTTCGCACGTGCAATCTTTCGCGTCCTCATCGTGCTGCATGCCTAGGTTGTGGCCCATCTCGTGCGCAACCGTCTGTGCAACGATGCCCACGGCGTCGTTCTTGTCCTGCACGACGCTCACGGAGGAGTTCTTGCTGTCGAGACGAAGGAATCTTTAGGCTTCTCTTGTGTTTGTGAGAATATCTAAGGACGTTTCTCTCTTTCTTTTTAATTTCCCGATCCTTTTTTTTTTGGGGGGGGGGGGGCTTGAAATATTAGGGATTTCTAGGATATGTTCAGGAATTCTTGAACATCGGGATTTTGGAGACTTGGGTTGTAGAAGAATATCTGAAGGTTATATTTATTTTTCTATTTCATGTTATATATTTATTTGTATATTTTAGATTTTGCGGGTTGTTAGCGTTGTTAGTTTGCTCGATTTTTATTGGGATTTCCATAAATTTAGTTACATGATAATATAGGGGAATCTGATTCTCTTTACCTACGGACTTTGTTGTCTTTGTTTGTGTTGTTTTTCCCAAGCACTTTTTTATTCTGTTGTTATTTCTTTGGCTTTCTTTGTAATTATGTGTAAGAATCGATTTAGTACTTGCAGTTATATATGAATATGTATGTATGTGTGTGTGTGTGTGTGTGTGTGTGTGTGTGTGTGTGTGTGTGTGTGTGTGTGTGTGTGTGTGTGTGTGTGTGTGTGTGTGTGTGTGTGTGTGTGTGTGTGTGTGAGTGTGTGAGTGTGTGAGTGTGTGAGTGTGTGTGTGAGTGTGTGAGTGTGTGTGTGTGTGTGTGTGTGTGTGTGTGTGTGTGTGTGTGTGTGTGTGGATACAAAATCAGACAACAGGCATTTCAAGGACTTACCTGCACATGCCCCTCACGGTGGCATACCCGACGGTTGAGCCCACGAAATCCACTCTCCTGCAAGAAAAAGATATTGATCATTTTTAAAATCAGGGAGTTATGTACAGGTGCTAAAATATCTATTGTTTTTGATTATGCATGAGGATATACATTTATTATTTTCATATGTATACACACATACATACGTATATACACACATACACATGCGTACACACACACACACACACACATACACACACACACACCACACAAACACAAACACACCACTACACAAACACACACATACATACGTACACAAACAAATGCACACACACAAATCTTTGAACCAATAACCATTACAATCACCAAAAACTTTAACCCTCACCCCTGCCCCCCCACCCCCCAAAAAAAAACTCACGTCAACAGCACAGTGTTGTCATTGGGTAAATTAGGCCTATCCTGAAGCAGCTTTCGTCGGTAGGCCGTGAATCTGGCGAGGAGGTCTTCGTGATTGTTTGTAACTGCGATTTTGTCGGAGTCGTCCCACACAATGAGGTCGGTGAGGACAACCACGACGCCGAGAGGGCGGTACATCTGCGGGCGTGAGGGAGAAAGGGCGTTGGTGATGGTGAATATTGATGGGGATGAATGGTGGGAGTGACGGTGGAGCAATGATGGTGATATTGTTACAGTACGTACAGTCTCAGAAAAGGAATAACTGGCATCTTAGCCCGGAGATTTTATTTTAGATTTTATTTTTCTATTCTAATCAGCTGACTCATTATGCATGTTTGTGCGTGTGTGGAATTTTAAGACGGAATACATCTGTTGTTTAAGGATAATGTTGTGGTAATAGTTATCACAGGTATAATAATTACAGGGGTAATGGTAACACTATTTGTGATCAGAATGATGATAATAGTGGAAATAACAATAAGGATAATAATATGATTACAGTTGATAATAAGAATGACGATGATATCGACTTAAAAACAGTAATGTTAAGAATGAGAACAATGATGATGATGATAATATCAATAATGGTGATGGTGAAGAGGAGGACAATGAACAACGACAAAAAGAACTAGTTATAACAATAGCAGTAAAAATAAGGATAATGATAAACAAAGATAATAGAATTACAGAGAAAAAAAAAACATCATTTTCAACCCCAAGGCCCCCGCCCCCCGCCATCCGCCGACACTCACCGCGTTCACGATGTTGACCATGGCGCGGCAGCGAGCCTCCACCTTGTCGCCGAACTTGCGGTAGAAGCTGTTGTCGGCCACGAGGACCACCTCCACGAAGCGGGTCAGCTTGTCCGTCCAGAGGGGCCCGTGCAGCGCCCCGCGACGCACCTGCACCCACAGGGGAAGCACAGGTGTGGGGAAGAGAGGGGGATAAGATATGGTGTAGGAGGGAAAAGGGTGGCACTACTGATATTAACTGTAGAGAGTCAGGTTTGTCTCTTTATAGGGACGGCCATCAAACAAAATCAAAACGCTTTTTCGCTCACGCTCACAACAGTGGTGGGCAAAAGATCAACAATGGCCGCTGAATCAACTGTGAGAACCATGTCAACCTATTGCAAATCTCTCGATTTAGTTGCTGAAAAACGTCATGATGAAAAACGTGTTCTAAAGGTACAGAAAGCTTACCAGATCCTTTCTCTCTCTCTGATGGCTGGTCTGAAAGCCCCATTGGTTGGCCCATGTTAGTTTTGGTCATATTTATCTCTACCTAATACATACGCCGGTTAGTTACACAGGAGAGGAGTTGAATGCTACAAGTCACTTGAAACTTTCAAGTATTTTTCTTAATTTTTAAAACAAAACAGAATAATGGAATTTGGCATTCAACATACGAAAAAAATCAGAATTTAGCTATCTATTTGCTGGGCCATACTAATTGGTTGATGCGACCGTTATACACACACCTGGTGTTTACACATAAAATGAATGAAAGGCCTACAAATCTCTGGAAGGGTACAAGTAAGTACTTAATACTGCTTATAATGAGACTGGTTCGTAGTCGTAGGATTAAATTTTCAAGAACTTGTGAAATTCTTTCTTGCTCGCTCTTTGCTTTTTAGGCCTGGTTTTATGAAAAGTTGCTCAAAACAAGGGTTTTGCCAATATTTTTCGGACGTTATAGCCAGACTTTTCTAAAATGTTAAACTTACATTCCCACGCAATACTCATCGTGATACCTTGAAAAGATTGAAGTAAATTGCCTGAAGTTGTTGAGAGGGCGGTGTAGCAGTCATTAGATTCACTCTTCATTTTGTTCCCATTTAATGTCTTACGGCCTTCGTTCAGAGAAAGTTTTCAAATCAAATAAACTGAAACTTAAAGTGAAAGAAGATACTCAATAGTAACCAGTCACCCACAGCATCCACCACCGCCTAGGCCCATGCCTAACCAT